GGAATAATAAAAATCATACCTCCTGTTTTTGCGACCATACAAAATCTCAATTCCAAACGAGGTATCTCTAAAGCAAAATCTCCGACTCCCTACTCCAAAGGAACACCCTATCCCATATCTTATATCCCGACACGTCTGTCGCCAACCTCCCCTCGGTCGCATCTGAATTCACTTCCCGGTATACAAGAGCCTTCGTGCAGCCTTGTTTAGCCCAAGGATGTAGAATAACCTGTGCTCGGGGAATGCTAGTCATATCTCGTTGCCTTGCCTCTGTCAGTGTCGGCCAGGCTGCGGCTCCCAGTTTTGCATGCGAGGACCATATTCCTCGACAATCCAATGGCAAAACTCGTCCCACATAACTTCCCATACCGCCGTGACTGATTTCAGCTGTTCTGGATCCATGCAGCTGTGCTCCAAACTCCACTTCACGAGTTGTTTCCACCCTAGCAAGGTCATTGATTCGGCACCGATCATAACTTGATAGAAATCGTGTGACAAAGAGGATCTGGTACAAAGGTTAGTCTCTGACCTCGAGCCAGATGCTGGGGGTAGGCTTACTTGTAGAAGGTAGCGTTGTCGCTGTTGACTGTACATGGTACGTTATTTGCCAGTAGAATGGGCAAATGATGCCCTGCGATGGTCGAAGTGAGACCCAAAATCTCGTTGGAGATTGGGCATGACTCGATGGCGATTCCTTTCTCCTTGAACTTCTCCATTAGTAGAGGGTGCCTGGCAAGTGCATATCCGTGACCGATTCGTTTCGCATTGAGCAGGACAGCATCGAAAAGGTTACCATCGACCCTGTCGCCGACTTCGAGTGTCTCGCCGCAGTGGAAGAGAAATGGAATATCCAGGTTCTGAGCCTCACACTTTTTCCGAAAGGCCAGAAACTCAGGTACAAAGTTACGGAGTTCGTTGCCCATCTCTTCGTGGCCAACAAGATCGAATCCTGAGGTTTGTCAGTATGCTTCTGGGCTGATGAGTGAAAGGCTGGTTATATCACTTACCACATATCAAGTGTTTGTACGTGGCCTTCAACTCCATACATTCGTTCAGGGAAGCTTCGACAGCCGAGTTTTTGAAGGAACGTGGCGTGCAATATATGACTTTCATGCCACCAAAGTACTGTCCTCTTTTTTGAATCTGGGCCATAGTTTTTTGCAGCTCCTCGTTGATGATTCGCATAATGCCCTCGTTGCCGATAGACCCCTTCCCGTCGTCTGTTTTCAGTGTGTTTGTCGCCATGAAATTTGGCCGAATCTCGGCGTACTGGATGTTATCCTGAACGAAGTCTTCGATGCATGCTCTGGTGTAATTTCTGAAAGCAGATTCATAGGCAAAAAGTCCTTTCATCATCTGGGTCCGATGGTTGAATTTCTCCCAGATTCTAGTAGTGTTAATTTCCGGAGTGAAACGTAGAGATGAGTTCTGAACCTACCCTCGACCAGTCTGACCACGCCCATGCGCCTCCTCTTCGGAAATGTGCATCTTGTGCTCTAGCCAAGTCTCTGCACCAGATGTTCCAGCCAACTCCCGCTCGACATTGTCTGTATAGTAGAACAATTGCTGAAATTGCTTGTACGGCATCCATCTGTTGGACACGTAGTTGTCGTCGAAGACGCTTCCCAATCCAACATCCTGAAGATTTCCTGTGGGATCTTTTAGCTGACAAGCTTCCTCCGGACTCATAACCATGAATGATATCCGAGATTCGATCCAATTTTGAGGGCTGACCAAAGGCAAAGAACTCCGAATGTACATTGCTTCGACATTCCGAGCTTGTCTAATCAGAAACCTGGCCGGAAGACAGGAATTAAAATGGATGTGAAGATGAGCGCCTTTCGGCATCTTCTTCGCAACTTTCATCAACTCCGTCTTGTTGATAAGGTCGACATTGCCAAGGAAATGTTCCCCTTGCGTCCTCTTGCCATCTACATTCAATGGCTTTCCGTACGTATTTTCCCAGTCATAAGATTTGATTTTCCGTACAAGATCAGCCGCAGTCTTCTCGATGTCTGAAGAGGCAGCGGTGATTTTAGCATCGAATGCTCTCGCCTTCTCCGCTAGTTGAAGTTGCTGCAATGCGTTGTTGTAGGCATCCATGTCAGGGTTAGTCATGTGGTTTTGTTGAGATGTTGTAATCGGTCCTCCAAAACGGTGCAACTTTCGAAGTCTTCGAGATATGTGAGAGAGATGCTGTAAGCGAATCTTCCCATCTGGAGAGTCCTCACCCTCTTTATCAACGGTGAAACAAAGAACGCCCATTTCACCAGCTACTCTGGGCCCTCATACATGCGATGGCTGTGCCTCCACTGTTGTTTGAGTTTGCCGGGAAACGTGGACTCCGTGCGAGCTGCGACTACCATACGGTAGCTTTAATGACAGAGCTTGGTGAGGCTGTTATACCGGTATATTAATGCCGTGGTCTGGGTTCCTCAATCCAAATGTTGCGCTGCGCCACTTTGCGATCAATTCTTGCTTGATTGGACAGCTTGACTCCCAACTCCCAACTCCCAACCCCTTATTTACAGCCTCGAGTTTGGTGACTTGATCCTAGAAGGTCCCTTGGCATTGAGATTCGAAAACAGCAGTAGAAGGCTCAAACCGCCCACGTTAGCAAGAAGAACGTCCAACTACGCTGGTGATCTATGTAGCATGTGTCTTGTAGTCACAGAACGTGTCTTGTGGGACGAACAAAGGCAAGTCCTCGGCGACGTGTTTACTTTCCAGACTTGCCAGCGAGCAAGACATACCCTGTATCTACTGTATTGCAATCAACGTCCGTACTGAATCGATCATCGGCATGCAAAAGCGTCTGTGGGCAAACCCTATCTTGTATGCCATGTCCGGCCTTGTGCAGTCCGTTCCGTACTGTAGAGGAAGAGTTGAGAGAGTTGATGGGCAGCTCGAGGCACTTGGGAGCAAGTATCAACAGCATATTTCGGATACGCACGCTGACCTCAGACTATGCTGTACAAAGTAATTCACAATTGAGATTATGACAAAACCAATATTCTCACAAAGGCTTGTAGTGATTTTGTGGCTATGTAGCCAGGAGCGAGGCGATACCGCAATTCGAGCTGATCCCCTTGGCGCATTGAAGGGATTTGTACCAACCAAAGGATACTAACACTACTCACTGAACCTCAAATTCTGGTACCTTCATCTAGATAGATACCTATATCTTTTTAGCGCATGAGATTGGCTGGTTTCTTATTGGTCCGAGTTCCGAATACTATTACATTGGCCCCATCTCAAATTTCCCAGCAGGTGATACGTGGTGTATCACTGCATAGGGAGGGCTTTCTCAGTTACGAAGTCATAGCAGCAGGATATGTGTTGCATGGAAAGAGAAACCAACACCATCTAATTAATGTACTGCAAAAAGCGTACCCTCAGGAGCACTCCATGCGCCTGAGCTTGGATGGCACCATGCTTCCTCTGTCAGGCCCGACCCTTCCGAATCTCATACTTTTCGTTTAGTCCATGAACTTGATGCCCTTCTTTCCCTCTACATCAATGTATCCTCCCTTGTAGCTCCCACGCTTCTTCTTGTTCTTCTCCTTGGTGAACCCCTTTCCTCTCGTAACAATCAGATCCTCGTGAGCCTTCTGAGCATAGTCGTAAGGGACGTATGCATTGCTGGCCAGCCGTTCATCAACCTTAGTATCCTTTGGGATTCTCGAGAACGGCTCATTGGTCTTTCTCTTCTTGTTAAAGACTGGCTCCGGGGGCAATGGGGGATCAGGTTCATGGGTAGAGACGGTTTCGGTGGCCTTGACGATCTTTGGCTCAGCGTCTGAGTCGCCTGACGAAGAACCAGAGCTCGAGTCGGAAGAGGATGACGAGGATTTCTTCGGTCCATCAGAGAGTGTAGCGCTTGTGTCTGAGCTTGCAGTTGGCCTCTGCTTGTCGTCCTTCGCGGAGTCGCTGTCGGAGCTGTCAGAATCGGAAGATTCAGTCTCGGAAGCTGGGAGCGGGGTCTTCTTCGCAAGAGTTGTGGTTGCAGACTCAGAATCGCTGTCGGAATCTGATGAACTGCTCGAGTTAGAACCAGAAGAGGACGAGGATTCGCTATCCGAAGACTTTTTGACCTCCTTTGTCTTCTTGATGGGAGCCTTCTTAGTCTTCTCGTCAGAGCTACAGCCCGAGGAGGTTTCAGACGAGGAATCGGAAGTGGATTCGCTTGATGAAGTGGCTTCCGTCTTAACTTTTTTCTTCATGGGAGGTTCATCTTCGGAACTAGAGACTGATCCTGATGAGGACGATTCGCTGCTGGACTCGGCCTTGCGCTTCAATTTGTTGGCTTTGGCCTTTGGGGAAGCGACTTTCACTACGACTGGGACCTCCTTCTCGTCATCTGCGTCGCTGTCGGAGCTGCTGGAGGAAGATAAGGACGAAGACGGGCTCGATCGCTTTCCGGAAACTTTCTTGGCGACTGGCGCATCTGCCATTTCAACATCGCTATCATCGTCGCTGCTGCTGCTCGATGCTCGCTTTTTATTTTTCTTCTTATCCACCTTGTCCTTCTTCTCCGCTACTTTCTTGGCCTCGTTGCCCCCCTTCAAACCACTCCACTCGCTGAAGATCGTACTGAGAGAAGGTACACCCTCTAACTCGCCTGCTTTCTCGCCCCGGCTTTCGCGCTCAGCCTTAAGAGCTTGGCTCGTGAGTGTGAACTCATATTCGGTCAGGAATGCGCCGACGAGCTCGAGCAGTTGACGTGGAGGGGCGGACTTGGGTGGAAGTGCGGGCTTGGATGGCAGACCGTCAGCTCGAGCCTTCAATTTCTTATTCCTATTCGATGTGCCATGAGGTTTGAGTTGCTTTGAGGTCTCTGGCTTCGCTGCCGGGAACAGCCAGTCCGGGCGCGGCTCAGAAGACTTTCTCTTTCCGATCTTGGTCCTTGAATTCGTAAGTCTCAAGCTCGTTAGGAGCAACGGGAAGCTCACATGTTTGGGTTCGACATGACGAGATCGCTGGAGGTGAAGGACAGTTGCTGGAAAGCCCTAATCCGATGGAAAATAAAAAAAAATGTAGGCCTACCAAGCACAGTGGGGCCCGCTAAAAACCTGCTGTGGAGTCGCAAGGATGAAAGTCACGAGAGCTAGTGAGAAAGGACTCAAGAGCTGGGAACCCCAATATCAGTGAACGGCTTCGGGTATGATGAAAGGAGGATGATTTAAAGGAATGCTCTGTAAATTACTACACTGCCTATAACCTATCCGCTTGATCAAACAGTACTGAACTGAATTTGGCATCCATGATCTTGCAAGCAAATAGAGCATTTTGAGAAGCTATTTACTAGGATACTGCTATAACTGCTTTGAAAGAATATTGGTTTTGTATATTTCGACATCCTAACATAATTCAGAGATTGCTATTCAGTTATCAGATATTAACCTTCCCAATAGAAGATCGAGTTCTCGCTGTTCAAGAGGCTCGACTAGATTGAACACCTGAAAAGGAACATCGGTCCGATAATTGTCCGAGATAATGCGTCCAGCTATACAGCCACACTTCGTAGTCGCGAGTACAACCTCCCATGAAGACCGACACTCACCACTCCATCCGTCCTATATCGACCCAGCGGACTCACATAGCCATGCATAAGGAGAGAATTAGAGGGTGGATAAAGAACATCATTCATGATTGAATGATTGACTGCCCAGCGCTAACCTCCTACAAGACGTAGCGCCAAATGGACGGTTCAAATCAGAACGGATCTAGCGGCATTCACGACAGTACCAGCAGTGGAGGAATGTCGAGAGCAGAAAGATTTGAAGATGAGAAGCGCAGGATCGTGGACAGCTGTTTTGCCAAGAAGGAAGAGGATGGAACTCGTAAGACCAAATAGACAGTGGAGTGGCGGAAATGGGACTGACTGTTTGCTTTACAGTATCAGAGTCATACATCACCCACATCAGGATTGTCGAAGATGCTGCTTACCCATCTACTCCACCTCCGCCAAACGCCAATTCAAATGCAAAGAAACCTCGAATTATAATTATTGCGGTGCGGAAGTCTGGGCGAGTGCGAATGCACAAAGCAAGAGAAAATGCCAATGGGACCTTTTCAATTGGAAAAACATGGATGCTGGATGATCTATCATCAGTGCAATCTTACAATTTTGCGAACCCAGGGAACCCGGAGGAGCAGCAGCAAAAAGAATGGGCCGGAGGGGTCGGGTTTACGGTCACCATTGGGAAACCATATTATTGGCAAGCAAACACGCCAAAGGAGAAGCAATTCTTCATTGCAAGCCTCGTCAAAATATACACCAAATACACTGGAGGAAAGTCCCCAGAGCTTATCGGATTTGAGAGTAGAGAGAGAGAGCAATTACTTGGATCTTCAGGGCGCCCACCTCCTGCCTCTCAGCCTCCTCCTCAGCAAGCACCACCAGGATATGGGAGGGACAGGAGACGAGATCCATCAAGAGAGCCCCCTTTACCGCAGCCCCCTTTACCGCGGACACAGCCTATTCGAGATGCTGTGCAACGCCCTCCACCACCAATGCCACCCGGTGGAGGCGCCTATCCTCAAAATACTAGACCTCAAGCGCGTCCTCAACGAGGAGACTCTTCCAGTGGCAGTATGGAAGCCAATAACAATATCCCTCAACAAGTCCCACAGAATCTCCGGCGGTTGGCGGGAAACAATCAGAGCCAGGAGTCATTTGGGAGAATTGAAGAAGCGGCAAGTTTGCCCCCAAGATCACGAGGCGGAGTGAACGGACTTCCAAGCGCCCCTGGAAGGCTCTCCGATCGCACTGTCACTCCAATATCCCAGCGGACGGTCACTCCCGACTCCAGCTTCTCAGGTAACAAGGAGCCGATGGACGAAGTACCCCCTATCCCAGCCCCGTTAGCTTTGCCTCCTGAGCGACGCAGACCTCCAATGCCAAATCCTGGCGATTCCAGACAGAGGAGGCAAAACCCGAATGACAACATTGTCCCTGCACCACTCTCTAGCGCTGGGGTGCGACGGGAAGATTTACGGCCACCAACACGCAGCAGCGAACGGAGTGTCCCGCGCGAAAGAGATCAGGAGATGGATGGTAGCAATATGCAGCTCAGCTCCAACGCCTTTCCCAAAGCTATCCCAACTCCTACTGCAACCGAAAGCTCTGACCGTGAGGACAACGTCGAGGTCCCACCTGCACAAGTTCCCGCTGTCCAGCCATCACCACCTGCAAGCGTCGACTCGCCCCCTGCCCAATTGACAGAAGAACCCGAAGATATGCGACCTGGACTTGGACCAATGATCAAAAGCAAGAAGTCCCCGACTGATGTGGCCGGCCAAGTTATGAGAGCGGCCAAAGTTGCCAATGCTTTCAGCTCTTTTAAGCCACGTGCCGGAGGTGCCGCAGAACGACTTAGAGAAGCTCAGGCAAAATCACCAGAGGGTCCCGATGGTGTGACCGGCGTAGTACCAGCTCCGTCACTTCTTCGTGGAATGAGCAGCGAAAGTGCTACACCAACTCCCAGTCCCGTAATAACACCTTTGGAACGGCCTCCGTCTCGTAAGACGAATGATAGCCTGCCAGAGGTGAAAATATCGGTCCCAGAACCACCAAGGCCACATAGCTTCGTGGTTTCAGTACCGCCTGTACAAGAAATTAGCCCACCAGAAACTAGCCCCCCAGAAAAGGCCAAAGCTCGGGAAGCCAAGAGAGCTAGACCACCAGCAGAGACTATGTCAAAGGAGCTCACTGCCATCGGCGTCGATCCAAGCATCATCGGCGATAGAGGCGGTGAGCTTGTCTCTGCATGGGAGGAGTTCGGGTGGGTCGGTGAAGGCATAAGAACCAAGAACATTGACCAAATGAAAGAGGACGTTGAGCGTGAACTGAACAAGATTCAAGCTGGTGGGTGGCTCAGCAGGTTAGAGGAGGAAGACGATAGGATCGAGGCAATCAAGACTGGTCTTGACAGGTGTATAGAGGAGTGTGAGGAGCTTGACGGGTTGTTCACGTTGTATCTGGTGGAACTTGGGGTGGGTCATTTCCAATCTACTGCTCGGGGATCGCTTACTAACAACACAGACTCTGAATGAGGATGTCGCGTACATTGAGGCCCAATCACAAGGATTGCAAGTTCAGACGGCCAACCAGCGGCTTCTCCAAACCGAGCTCAAATCTCTACTCGATACGATTTCTATCTCGAACGATCAGCTCGCTGATCTCCGCGAAGCTTCGTTGGAATCTTCGCGTGGCCTCGAGCAAATCGAATCTTCTTTAATTATGCTCTATAAGGCTATGCTGACGATTGACCCATCTCTGAATACGACTGTTTCTAGGCCTAGCGAAGACGGTAGCCTCATCTCTGGGAAGCCCGGTGGCTACGGCAACAGTGAGATCGGAAGTATGAGAGTCCTTCAGGAAAAGAAGGACGTTTACAAAAATGAGATTGCAATGTTCCTTCGTCGCTTGAAACCCTTCTTGCAAGTCAAATTTGGAGCTGCAATCGATGAGACGAGGAAGGCCCTCGAGCAAGAGAAAGGAAGCAATCTTACCAGACCCGCAGGCAAGGCGAGACTCGACCCCCGGAATCACGATCTTGCCCGGGATCTGCTTTGGAGATACAGCCCACTAATGCTTTTCTCAAGGGAAGTAGATCGCACAGAGTGGGAAGAGCTCATGAAAATGTACGAGATGGTCTGCCGCCCGGTGTACTCAGAAGAGTTCAAAGACGCGACCTTTGCATGGAAACGTATTGTCAGAAAGCCTACTGGAGACGAGGGCGATGTTCTGTTCACTTCGCAAATTGAGAAGCAGACCGACGGTATTGCTACCACTGCTCGGAAACTGACCGTCAAGAGAAGTCAGACTTTGGCAAAGAGCTTGCGGTCTCCCATTGGCGACAATGCTATCAAGTCAAGCCTCGACAAAGCTGATGGCCGACTCCAACCGTATGAGGTGTTCGCTGGAATCCTTGACGAGACTGTTTCCATCATAAGCATGGAACAGAACTTTCTCGTCGAGTTCTTTCACGTTACCTCCCTGGAGCAATCCGACTTCTCTGATGCTGTTTCTGCAGCGCCACCAGATATGCGACGTGGTGGCGATTTGCGACGGCCTAGAGTGATGGATCCGGACAGGAATCTAGCACGGCTTGTCATTCAATCAATGGAGGAGTTATTTTCGTTTTATGGACAGGATATGCAAGGACTGTCCGAATGGACGTTGGGGTCCGATCCACTGTAGGTGCTGCCGACATTAGGAAGTATCGTTATGAGGTATTGGCTAACTTCTGCACAGACAAGTCATTGGTGTCATTGCTGCCATCGAACGCAAGCTCGTCAGCTTCGAAGAATCCAGCCAGGAGTTCCTTGCCCGAACCCTCCAAAGGTTGCATGTCAAGCTCGTTAGTCTCTTCAACAAGTTGTTGGACGAGCAAATCCGCGCGATTGAGGAGACGAAAGTGAAGATCAAGAAACGCAAGGGTGTGATTGCCTTCATCCGGATTTTCCCATCCTTCTCCTTGACTATGGAGACAATGCTGTCAACCTCGCATGATCTCGATATTCGGCAAACGGTTAACACTGCCTATTCTCGAATCAACAAGACCATGTTCGAGTCTCTGAAGGTCATTGCGAGAGAAAACCCTAGCGCTCAAGTTGCTGGGGCCGATCCCGAAGATAAGGAGGCCTTGAACTACCAGGTGCTGCTCATTGAAAACATGAACCATTATCTGGAAGAGGTAGACGGTCGTGCTAATCCGGTGTTGGAGGAATGGAGACAAAACGCTACCCGAGAGATGAATGAGCACATGGGGCTGTACCTCGGTGCTGTGATTCGGAGACCCTTGGGGAAGTTGCTCGACTTCCTCGAAAGCGCCGAAAGCTTGATGCTCTCTCGACAGGCAGGAGAGCCTGCCACGAAGATCTCCAGCATGCCCAGTCACTCGAAGTCAACATTCAACAAGATCCTCGCTAACTACGACTCGAAAGAAATTCGGAAGGGTATCGAAGCGCTCAAGAAGCGAGTTGAGAAGCATTTTGGAGATGCCGACGAACCCGGAATCAGTCGAGGTCTTGTCGCGACAGTCACACAGAACTGTGAGAAGTATTACGAAAGGGTCGAGGATCGAATCCTGACCATTAGCAGAGATGTGTATGATGGGGAGGTGATCGCGGAATGGACCCGTGCGGATGTTTCTGCAGCGTTCAGAAAGTAGGTAGCCGGCCAGGAAGCCAAGTTTGGGGTTGACATGGCAACGATATGAATGATACGAGGGCTGGATATGTTCTTAATCTTTGGTCTCTTTTGCAGCGGTTTTAGCTTTGGATTGACAAATGGCGTTTCGTTCGGAGGTACCGTCTGTGGGATGCTTCGAAAGGGGTACAGCTGTAAGGATATACCATGACGCAAATGCAGAGCATATTTGTACATTCCAGAAGCTGCAGTTGATTAATGATTGATCGGGATATGTGCAATTTCTAGTGGTGGGATTGTCTGGGCCTCGTTGGTGGGGGTGGTGGGGGAGGGGTAATGCACATGAGCCGCCAGCCAGCCAACTACCTAGGTACCTATCTACCTTGGGTACCTATTTTATGCATCCCTCTCTTCCCTCTCTCTCTCTCTTTGCCCGAAATGGTTTCTAGTCCAGTCTAGTCTAGTATAATCCAGTCTAATATAGTCTAATCCAGTCTAATCCAGTCTAACCTAGGCCAGTCTAATCCAGTCCAATCTAGTACTGTCTAATCTAATCCAGTCCAGTCCAATCTAATCTAATCCAGCCCAGCCCAATCCTGAAAAACAATCCAATCTCATCTAGAAAAAGCAAAGCAAAGCAAGGATTCATGCAAGCAAGGCAAGGCAAGGCAAAGCAAAGCAAAGCAAAGGAAATAAAGGAAGGATGGAAGGAAAGGAAGGATGGAAGGAAAGGATATCACCTGTCTTTACTTACTTACTTACTTACTTACTTACTTTCTGATCTGAATGCACTCAGCTAGCGGGAGAGGGAGGAAGGATAGAGCGGGGACGAGGAGAGGAGAGGATGAAGAAGAGATGGAATCTATAAATTGGGAGAGAGGGAGGGGAGGAGAGATGGAAGATATGAGATGGGAGAAATGGGATGGATGGATAGACAGACTCACGGGCGGATAAAACGATATAACATAATACAACATAACACAACACAACATAGCATTACATCTACATCTATATCTACATCCTGCAAGCACCCATCTCGTAACAAAACCAGGTCACAAAAGGAAGCTGTTCTGAAGCTGTTCTAATGATATTGGTTGACTTGACTTGACTTGACTTGACTCGTACCGTACCGTACCTAACCTTACCTAACCTCACCTAACCTTACCGTACCTAACCTCACCGTACCTAACCTTACCTACCTTCCCTTATCACCAATCATCCAAGACTAACCAACCAACCAACCAACCATCCATCCCTCCATCCATCCATCCATCCAATCCCAACCAACCAACCAACCAACCAACCAACAAACCACCTATAAACCATATCGGGATGAATTTACATACTTACAGTACCGTACAGTAGTACCGTACAGTAATACCGTACCGTACCGTACCGTACAGTAAAGTTCAGTTCAGTTCAGTACAGTAGTACAATACCTAATAAGTAAGTAAGTACGTACCTAATAAGTAAGAACCAGCGCCAAGGCCCAAGGTTCGTGCACTTACTTACTTCGTACTGCCTTGGTGGCGCGTGCATCAATCAATCAATCAATCAATCAATCAATCGTCCTGCTTTCCTTTCTGCTTACTTTACCTAGGTACTTTACCTACTTTACCTAGCTAGGTGGGTAGGTAGGTAGGTAGGTAGGTACTTCGAAACAGTATATATACCGGTAGTATAGTAAAGTATAGTATAATATAGTAAAGTATAGTATAATATAGTACAGTATAGTATAATATAATATAATATAATATAATATAATATAATATAGTATAATATAGTATACTATAGTATAATACAGTACAGTATAACATACCATAGTATATAAGTACGAGAGAGCGGGCGCGTCGTGATCGTGATCGCCATGGCAGTTGGTTGTATTGTATTGGTGGTCGCTCGAGATTCGGGTTCCGGATTTCGCTTTGTCGGATTTCAGATTCTATTACTATTATTATTATTATTATTATTATTACTACTATTATTATTACTGTTGTCTTGTTGTTGTGCTGTTGCTAATGTTGACAGGCCGGAAGAGAAGAGAAAATCTACCTGAACTTTTTTTTTCTTTTTTTCCTTCACATTTCCCCACGCACTCCCCCCCCCCCCCCCATTCACGCATTTTTGAATAAGCAAAAAGTGGCAAGTCAAATTTTGGGTTTGGGTTTATTTTTTTGTTCGTCTGAATTTTTTTTTTTCTTTTCATATTTTCTTTCCCCCCATCCCCCCCTTCACGCGTTTTTGAGTAATCGAAAAGTGGCAAGTCAAATTTTGGGTTTGGGTTTATTGTTTTGTTCGTGGCATTGATGGTGCAAGAGATCAGGTTGTGCTTTTCTCTCGCTATCATCTCTATCTCATCTCGCTCTAATCCCTCCCTCCTTGAGAGAATCGTACAGTACATACAGACCATGCCCGTGGCGATGCAACGCATCCAGCCATCCTTCAAACGCCGTGCTAATGCAAAGTAGGTCTGTCGTGAAAAAAAAAGGAAGAAACGCCAGATGTGGATGGGTGGGTGGGTGTGTGTGCGTGATCGTTTCCAGAGGAACATGATCCCCAACCAAACTCCTCCCCCCCCCACCCAGTCGTTAAACCCGCCCCTTTTGTGTGTGTGAAGATCATCATCCATGTTCGTGTATGCGTGCATGCATCTCTGCTGTTGGAGCAGCCAACAAAGAGAGAAAAAGAAAATCGTGACACCATGCATCCAAGCGCCCCCCACCGCCGCCCCCAAATGCGCCAAGATCAAATTCCTCTCATCTATCCATCTATCCATCTATCCATCTACCCATCTATGCCAAGATTCTATGCAGCGTAGCTGTTGCGATCTCTCTGTCCACCGAGAAGTCTCGAGAAGATGTTGCCGGCCATGAGGCGGGGCTTCTTCGCGGGCTTCTCATGGATCACCTCGCGCTCGACCTCGTAGGGTAGCATGGTGTGCTGGCTGGCCGGGTACAAGACCTGGTGATCCATCTCGATCTGCACGATGTCACGGACGATCGGCGCAGGGCTCTCACCATTGAGGCGGCAGTACTGGGCTTCGAGCTCCTCGTTGTAGCCTTCCATGCTGGAGCTGGGGGTACCGGCGCGGGAGAGCGTGTCGACATAGGAAGAAGCGGAGGAGGAGACCGTGGAGTACGTGTCGGCCGTACCGCTGCGTGCCAGGACGGGGACTTCGCTGGTGGAAGGTGGAGAGCCGTACTGTGATGCCCGGGACGGGATGCGGAGGGGAGCAACCATCATGCCGGTCGGATCGATGAAGCGGCCGGAGGTGTTCATCGGGTGGAACTCGTTGCTGGGCACCCAGTACTGGTGGTGGGCGGCCTCGGCTCGGCGCTGCTCCTCCTCGGCCAACTGCTGTTGTCGGGCAGCCTCCTTGCGCATCTCCCGCTCACGGCGCTGTTCTTGCTTCCTCACCACCTCGTGCCGGATGGGCGCCAGGAAGGGTTCCAGGTGGGCGTAGAGATCCAGTTCGGTGATGATGAGATCCCAGTCGAGGAGGAAGAGCAGCTGCTTCTCCATGAGGTTGACCTCGGTGGTCGAGAAGCCAAACTTGTCCCAGCCGCGGACGTGGGTGTACTCGGCCCAATGTTTGTTCTTGGGTGAGGAGTCATTCAGGAACTTGGCGGAGAGGATGAGGGCGGCGAGGAAGATGCGGTGAACGGTACATCTCAGGCCCTTGGCGACCGGCGGGAGCTTCTTCTTCAATCGCTCGAGGTAGACCAGGGTGCTCATCAGCGTCGGGACCTGGACGTTGGACTTTCGGACCAGGTTGGTGATGAAGCGTTCGAGCGATGGGAGGCTTGTCGTCGACACGGTGGGATCGTTGGGAGGCGTCGTGGGGGGAGAAGCAGGGAGGTCAGCTGACTTGGAGAGAGGTCGATGCTCGCACTGGATGACCTGCGTCGCCTTGATGGCCAGATAGTGGATCATGTCCGTGGTGACGGGGGTGTAGATGAAGTGGTCCAAGGCAGCCTCGTTCAACTCTCGGGTCGGGTACGCCATTTTGGTGATGGGGTGTGTGTGTTGGTTCTTGATTGGTGACAGGCGATGTAGTTGATGTAGCAGTAGTAGTAGTCGTAGAAGGAGAAGAAGGAGAAGAAGTGGAAGAAGTGGTTGTAGTTGTGGTTGTTGTGGTCGGAGGAAACGATCTCGTGGAGAGGGAGCCAAGAAGAAATATCAGTTGCGACGGCCAGACGCTATAATCTTTCTATTGTCGTGAACTTCGTATTGTTGGGGGCGGTCTCTTGCTATTGTGCCTAGCTAGCTATTGTGACTCGGCGAGAATTCAAGGCTTGATGTCAAGAATACGGTCCGGGTGAGGCTATGTGTGAATGGGAGGGTCGGCCGATTGCTAGTGCGAAAAGTGGGGCCGATGGCGACGACGACAACAAGAACAACACCACCCCCAAAAATCCAATGTTCGGAGAGTGGAGCCCGGTAGGTCGGTGGCAGCTTCAACAACCCAAACTCGGAATCATGCAATGCACGACGGAAGCGATGCACGTAAGTACGGTATAACAGTTCTCCGGCCGCAAAGGTCAGGAAGGATTGATTGTGCAGGGTGGATGCGGGTGGTATATGAAGGAGAAAAGTTGGGAGTGGATGGGGGGCGACCAGACGAGACGAACTTTCCGAGCCGGCGGAGAGAACCTAGCGACTGAATTCGATTAAGGACGTTGACGTTGTTTCGCTGGCGCAGCAGCAGCAACACTTCAACTCATGCAAAAGCCAAAGCCAAAGTCAAAGGCAAATAAATGCGAGAATATGCGACGACGCAACGGCTACAAGGAAGCAGAATCAATGCACTGCAAGTTGATTGAATGAATGATTTGACTGATTGGATTGGATTGATTGATTGATGATTGATCGATTGATGGAGACGACGAATGGATGATTCGTAAGCTGCCAAGGCAGTACGTAGGACCACGTCGGAGCCGAAGGGAAGAAGTGGATACTGGAGTCGAGTCGAGTCGGGGGGGTTGGAAGTTGGGGGTTGGAAGTTGGGGGTTGGGGGGAGGAGGGGGAAAGAAGGGGGGGGGCTGGGGATCTGATGTGCTGGACGGGGATGGAGACGAGGACGAGGCGCGGCCAGGGGGAGGGATGATGGATGCTTTCTTTTATCCACAGGCGCGCTGGCTAAGGCGCTGGACGCGGATACTGGATACTGGATGCTGGATGCTGGATGCTGGCCGGCCGGACGAGGGCAACGAGCTCGACACGAATACCGGTACCGGTATCGTAATCGGTGGTACGACGTGGTGCTACGTACGTACCGGTAGTACCTTTCCCGGGGGTGCACAGACAACGGATGCAGGGGCAATCGGCCAGCGTTTTGACAATTCGTCTGTTCGCCGAATCTCAGAAGACGAGTAGACGTTTTGCTTTGGAAAATGGGTCGATGTCGAGGACAGACACCAGGTCGTCGCGGAGAGGGAGGGAGAGGAGGGAGAGGAGGGAGATGCGAGTCCGATGGGCCAGTACGGTCAAGTGAGCTGAGCTGGCCAGGGCGAGCCAGATGCGAGATGCGAGATGTGGCGGGTGCAAATACGATGGGCGATGGGCGATGGGCGATGGGTTGTCGTTGTGGATGGGATGGAACGGATGGGATGGGATGGGATGGGAATATAAGGGAAACGGAAAGGGACAGAGAAGAAGGAAAATGACAACAGAGAAAAGGGAGAGAAAAGAAAATGATGGTGGCCGCCGAACCAAGGGTTGGGTCGAGCGAGATTGAGGGAGGTTGTCGGTTTAAGGTCAGGTCGATTCGATATCGATGTTGAGGCAGCGCAAGTAAGGAAGAGCAGCTGCCGCTGCCGGATGGTTGGGCGTGGTTGGTCTGCTTGGGCTGCTCGGGCTGCTTGGGCTGCTTGGTCGACGGGGTCTACGGGGTCTACGTGGGCTACGGGCTAACCTCCTTGGTGGTACTAGACGCTGCACTGGGAAAGCCGACGCCCAAGTGGACGAGAGAGTTGAGGGCCAGTTTCAGTTCGGCTGCATCTGCTTTGCTCCGCGTTGCTTTGATTTGCCTTGACTTGCCTTGCCTTGCTTGCCTTGCCTTGCCTTGCTTTGCTTTGCCCTTCAATCGAAATGGGGGTGGTCGGGGATATGGATGTGGATGTTGTGAGAACCTGCTGATGGTGGATGGATGGATGGATGAATGAATGAATGTATCAGGTCGACCGACCGCATCATCCAACCAGCCGATCTGCCACAAGTCACAGGTCACAGGTCACAGGTCACAAGTCACAAGTCACATGTTACCCAGGTCAACCCATTACCGTACTCCCGTACCTAGTTTCATGTGTCGCTGGGGCACTACGAAGCGCCGGCCGTGGCACGGGAGATGTCGGTCTGGGCTGGGCTGGGCTGGGCTGGGCAGTCCCCTTGGCCTCGTGTGCCCCCCCCGCTATTTCTATGCCAATAATAATCTCCAGACGCAAGGCTTGCCGTCCACAGGGAACTCACAAGGAAACACTCACTGCTCAGCAACCTCGGACTTGGAGCCGGAGAGGAGAAATGTGGAATGGCACGGAATGGGATGGAATGGACTCCGACTCCGAGGACAATGCAATAATAAGGAGTAGCTATAGACTGCTCTTCCAGTTCCAGCGGTGAACAAACTCAGAGGAGGAGGAGGAAAGCTTTCCGTCACGGTCATCCAGCTCACAGCAGCAGCAGCAGCATCCATCATCATCATCACCACCACCAACATCATCCTTCCTGGTCTCGCGAGTCAGGAGTCGAGGGGCAGAAAGGTAGATGGCAGGTGATGGCTTGATTATTGATTATTGATCCCGAGATGCCATCCCATTCCATTCCATCCCATCCCATCCCATCCTCCAATATCCCCCGCCCCCCCCCTCGGAAAGACAACTTGATGCATTTCTCGCCGTGGCTGGCATCTGATCTGCGCCGGGCACATCTTCTGGGTTGACCCGGTCTGAAAGTCGCTTCGTCGGCCCATCTCTTCGTCTACACCAGCCAGGCAGTCATTCAGACACTGAGTGGCAATGCCAACGGCAACGGCTATGGCAATGGCGATCATAAATAGATGAATTACGTATGATCTTCAGGGTCCTGGTATGGGCCTCTGATCAGCCCGGATCCACCAGTCTGCTCTGAAACCATCCAGGATCCGATGCATCCAGCTGCCAGCCCGGATCATCATCTTCACTGCCACAACAGACAGATGCCATTCCGTCATGTCACCACCAGCTGGCACAGGAGGAACACCCGACTGACCAGACCCGCAAGCCGTTGCATACGAGACGCGACGAACACGGGAGAGAAAGGCCTCCCGCGCCCACCTTCAAACGCTCTCCATCTCGAGTCTCGGGTCTTGACAAACCCCGAACCGAGACATGCCGCCTCTTCCAACCCTCTACAATGCCTCTGTTTCATTTTCATTCTTACAACGACAAACGTGGTGACACAGTGCACGCCAGAGGGGGACCGGCACTGCATCAATCTTGCTACCGCGCGTAACCAGCGAGCCGCCAGCCGGAGGAGGGGTAGGTGGCGCTTCCAGAACATGGTATATTGATACATACATATAAAGATATATATATATATATATACATATAAATATACCTCGTTGGTTAGCTAGCTGCATCATCATCGTGCGGCTCAGCCCGGTTGTTCGTTTGGGTAAGCGCCTTGCTGCTGGGGATATCTCATCCTGCGTCACCGACCGGATCGATGAAACAGGCCTGGGTCGCTCCTTTTTTAGGAAGAGAGAGAGAGAGAGAGGGAGAGGATTAGGTGTTGCTACCAATATATGTGCGCCAGATTTGCAGGTTTCGAGAAGCGCTCACTCGTGGGACCGACTGCTTGGAATTGTGATGATTTTTTGGAGGGGGTGCTGTCATGTACCGGTACCTGCCACTGTATGGAGCTTGTGGGCTCTGGCGTTGGGTGGATGTCTTTCGGGGATGTGTTTCCCTAAGTCTTCTCTGATTGCTTCCTCCTCCTCCTCCTCTTCTTCTTCCCTTCCGCTTTCTTTCTCCAGCATAGGTGGGTGTGCATTTATTTGTAGTAGTAGTAGTAGTAGTAGCAGCAGCAGTAGTACTAGCATCATCATCAACCTACACAACAAAGCGACCGACCATGTGCCTACCTACCTACCTACCCACCCACCTCCAAGGCCAAACTAAAAAAGACGGGAAACCCAAGCAAAGACATCCAGACAGCCAACCCCAAGCAAAACCAAGACTGCTTCTACTTATCGTCCCCCCCTCTCCCTGATCTATAAAAAAGAGTAAGCACCTAAGGTACCTACGTAGAATAAGTAAGTAACTCCCCTCCTCCCCCTACTTAGCAAGCCGCCCCACGCCCCCCCTCAGCTCCTCTCCTCTCTAAGCAGCAAGAACCAACCAACGACCAAAGCAACAGACGCGTCAGCCAGTCAATAGTAAGTAGTCAGTACCAGTACCCGTACCCGTAACCCATCCCCCCAAACATCACCATCAGATAACCAGCCTCTTCCAAACCCAAACCCCGCTTTTGCATACCTGCCTACCTATACCTGCCTGCCTGCCTGCCTCTCTAATCCAACTCGTACCGCCCTCGCGTCGTCCTGCTTCTTACTGTACGCGATGCGATGATACTGTCTCTTTCTCTCTTCTCACTTTCTCTTTCTTTCTCACACACACATACACACATACATACACACACATACACACACACATACACACATACATACATACATACATACAGATCAAATAACCACCCTCTTTCTCTTTCTTTCTTTCAAAAATAAAAAATAAACAATAAAAATAAATAAATAACAGAAAAATATAAAAGTAAAAAGTAAAAGTAAATAAATAAAACCAGAAAAATATAAAAATATAAATCATCTTATTCGCTTCTCGTTTCGCTTCTCGTTTCGCTTCTCGTTTCGCTTCTCGTTGTGCAAGGTGGGTGCGTGGGTGCATGGGTGGGTTCCTTTCCCGCTCTTGGGAGTGGAATGAATGCTGGAGGAGGTCGATGTCGATGTCGAGAGCAAGGTCGAGAGCGAGTGCGAGTGTGGAATTTGGAATTTGGAATTTGGAATTTGGAATTTGGAGGATGGGAGGGATGGGATAGGATGGGGTTTGGCTTTTAGATAGGTACTGTACTGTACTGTAGGTAGGTGTTGTAGAGATGTATTGTTTAAATTTTAAATTTTAAATATTATTTTTTTTTTTTAAAAAAGGGGGTTTTTGGGGGGGTCTTTTGGGGGGGGGCTTTTGAAGTGGCGAGGGCGGCACGGCACGGCACGGCATTGGATTGGATTGTGGATTGTGGATTGTGGATTGTGGATTGTGGATTGGGATGATGGGGATGGAGAATGGGTTGTTGGTGGGCTTACCGGTACCTACTTGAGCCTTCTTCTTTTTCTTCTTCTTCTTGTTAGACAAACACTGTTAAGAAAAGGAGGGGGGGGTTTTTAGGGGGGATGGTTGCTACGGGAGTGAGTTCGAGCGGTGAACAGAGCGAGAGGAAAGGCCATAGGTAGGTAGGTAGGGTAGGTGACGACGCTCTCACACACACAACACACACACACACACTCTCTCTCTCTCTCTCTCTCTCTCTCTCTCTCTCTGTCCTGGGAATTCCAGACTCCAAATACAGCTTCGGCAGCGAGCGAGCTGCTCGGCGTAGCCGCCTCGCCTCTACACGTACATTCCCCAGAAGGAAGGGGCGACGAACAAGAATGGGAATCACTGAGAAGGAAGGTGGGAAAAACACAGAGAACACAAAAAAAAACACAAAAAAAACCAAAACCAAAACCAAAGAAAAAAAAAACAATTATCATCCCAGTAGACAATCCAGGTTCGCCTCACAGCCCCCACCCCCCATTTCGCCGGATTTTTAAAAAGAGAGGAAGAGAAGGAGCTTCGGGTGATGGAGGAGGAGGAGGAGAGTTTAGGCCATACCCATCTGGCCCTTGTATTCGGTCGCGAACATGGCATCCATCGGATCGTCGAACCCGGCAGGGTGGCAATCCAGCATCCCCGGGCGGATCGTCCCGTCGTTGGCGAAGCCCATGGCGGCCGGGTTCATCTGCATGGCTTTGAGGCTGTCGGCATCGAAGCCCGGCTGCCGCGCGAGCGGCGGCGGCGGCGGCATCTGCTTCAGGTAGCTCGACGTCACCTCGAGCGGGTGCGCGGCCACGAGAAAGTCGTCGCCGCCCGACCACGGGGAGAAGGGCGACGAGTGGTGGAACATGGGCGTCTCGGTCTTCAGGTCGGTGTAGACGGGAGAGGGCATCGAGTAGCCGGCGTCCAGTGCCGGCGGGCGGGACGGTTTGTACGTCTCCTCGTCGAAGGCGGCGGCGGAGGCAGAGGCGGATGGTCGCGGAGCGGTGTTCAACGGCGCCGGCTTCCGCGGGGCCAGAGTCGCAGCGGCCGGTCGGGGGCCCCACATCGCCTGGTTGTACTCTCTGGACACGTTCGAGTGGTCGCTGTCGCTGCTGCTCGCCCGTTCCGTGCGGGGCAGACCCGGCGAGTACGAGGAGAGGTCCTCGGACGGTTTGCGACTGGCATTCTCCTCCGCGGCCAACGCCGTCCGCGCGCTTTGTAGCTGGGCTTGCAGCTCGGCAAAGTCCTGTTCGCCCTCCGGGAAGGCGTACGGGAGGTCGGGCGACGCTCGAATGCATCCGAGCTTGGAAGCGATATCGTGGATCACGGGTTGCGCGCGGTCGTTCAGCTCTGGTTCGCCCAAGTCCCACTGCTCGCCATTGCGCAGCATGGTGTACAGTTTTTGCACCGTCGCGATCAAAGCGTACTGGGTGTTCTCTAGAACCTCGGCGTACCTGGCGCTCCATGGTCAGCTGGAGGACGCTGTTCACGGGCCGGGGACCACACGTACCCTCGAGGCAATTGCTTGAACTCGGTCTTTTTTCTGCTGCCAGCTGTGCAGACTAACCCATCATCTTTACATCGCTTACAAGGAGATTCTCCGTCGCACTGTGAGAGTCAGTCGGGAGCCTGCACCGGGTGAGAGATGGGCATACCTTCGTCTTCTTCATCCGGCATCTTTCGCACGCCTTCCAAACTCGCTTATGTCTACCATCTAAGATACCAGAACTGGGTTCAAGCGATGAGCTTGATCTCTTGGAGGATCTGTTCAGAGATCTTCCCGGCTTCGATATTTTTCGTGATGCGATGGATTTGTTGTCATCCAACGGCGGAGACGGTAAACAGGAAGGGGACATGGTGTGGAGACTGAGGGTGGGA